TATAAGCTCAAAGTAAAATGAATTAGATCAAAATATACATCTTTTCAAAATTTTGCTTTGCTTTGCTTTTTCACAGCATGTGGGTGTCACTGGTAAGGCTGGGTATTAGTTGCCTGTCCCTAATTTCTCTGTTGACCTGAGTGGCCTGCTGGGTCATAATTTCACGATTGTCAAAAAGAGAGCTAGCAGTGAGATGAGGAGAAACTTCTTTACTCAGAGAGTTGTTAAGATTTGGAATGCACTGCTTGGGAGAGTGGTGGAGACGGATTCCGTCGGAGGTTTGAAAGAGAGCTGGATATATGTTTGAAAGGGTTGAATTAGATGGCTGTGGAGGTAGGGCCAGAGAACGGGACTAGCTGGGTAGCTCTTTCAGGAGGCGGTACAGACACAATCGTTTGAATGGCCTCCTTCTGCACTGCCAAGTTCTGTGATTCTATTTTTGAGAGCAGTTAAAAGTCCACCACTGTAGCTGTGGGTTTGGAGTCATATGGAGGTGAAACCAGGTCAGGCCAGCAGATTTCATTCCCTGAAGAGACACTAATGAACTTGCTTAGATTGTATGACATTCAATTATAGTTTTTATGGTCACCATCACTGACACTAGCTTTTATTTCAGATTTATGAGCTGAAATGGGCAGCTGACACATCAAAATATTTTGCCATTTCTTACAAAGCATGGGAAATGAAGTGCTTTGGGATAAAAGCCACTTTCAATGGTTTAAAGTATTCCATCCATTTTCCCTAACTCCCCAACTTTCCCAGGAGACACGAGGAAGAGGAGTGGACAAAACAACAGCAGATCCATAGCGAGATACACACTAGGAAAGGCGATGGCCTAATGGTATTATTGCTAGACTGTTAACCTAGAGACCCAGGTTCGAAACTCGTCACGACAGATGATGGAATTTGATGGATTAATAAAATATAACAAAGAACAGTACAGGCCCTTCAGCCCACGATGTTGTGCCGGCCTATTATCCTACTAAGGTCAAAATATCTGGAATCAAGATTCTAATGATGACCAGGAATCCATTGTTGATTTGTTGGAAAAACCCATCTGGTTCACTAATGTCCTTTAGGGAAGGAAACTGCTATCTTTATCTGGTCTGGCCTACCCGTGACTCCAGACCCACAGCAATGTGATTGACTCTCAACTACCCTCTAAATGCTGTTAATGAAATAAAGGAAAAGAAAAATTCTCAATGTCCAAGTCAGGGAGAGAGAAGACCCAGGCCCAATTACTTCCTCAAATGATATTTGTCATGTGATATATTAGAAGAGAACTTGTTTCCTCGTGCCAACTTAATGAGGTGCCATCAAATTAACAGGCATCTGTCTCAACTTCAGTTCACAGGAACGCATTATTGATGGCATCTGTAGCTTTTGCTTTTCAAGGTGGTTTCAGCTGAAATACTGTTATGTGAATTTTGAGGCGACCCTTAAGACTCTTGACCTCATAGTGCATCATTTTAAAAAATACAGCTGCAGCCTCAGAATTCCATACGCTACATTTAATCCTCGTTCAGGACCAATGGTATACAGAGTCATAGAGTCATAAGGCACAGAAACAGACCCTTCGGTCCAACAAGTCCATGCCGACCACAATCCCAAGCTAAACTCATCCCACCAACCTGCGCTTGGCCCATATCCCTCCAAACGTTTCTTATTCATGCAAAAATTGTAAGAAATAAGCCTAAACTTCCAGAGCAGCTACAAGATCCAGGCCAATCTCAGTCCACCAATTTTTAAATCAAAACTGTTCAGATCTGTTATGAATCAAGTTCTAGAGTAGGTGGGACTTGAACCTGGATCTACCTGTCTCAAAGGTAGAGACACTAACAGTGCCATACAAGATCCCTCTAAATTGTCTATACCTATACTTTTGATGGACTCCATCACTTACATGCAATCCTCATTCATGATGTAAAATATTCCTCTGTTATAAAGTACTAACAGGTTGATGAAAAATGTCTTCTGGCCAGCTGTTAACTGGCTAGTTATGAATTGTTTGTGGTGAAGCTGCTTGAAATGAAAGGAGAAAGCACTGTCTTGGAAGTGCATCAAGAATTCATCCAATGACTCATTTCCACACTGATAAATGTTCAGTGGTCTACCACAGGACAACTTAAAGCAGGAGGTAAGACTGATTCATTAATTAATTCTGACGATGTAGATAATTCAGCAGCTGAAGACATCATCGCTTCTAAAGTATCCACTTCAGGAAATATTTACGTACATGTGTAAAAAGCCGGATCCAATTTGCTGGAATGTTTTCCAAAAAAAATGTGAAAATGCCGAAGTTTTGTCAGCAGCTATGTCTCCAGAGTCTTGTCGATCCAATATATTATGCACAGCACGGATACTTCTGAAACAAAAACAGAAGTTGCTGGAAAAGGTCAGCAGGGCTGGCAGCATCTGTGAAGAAAAAAAATCAGACTTAATGTTTCGGGTCCGGTGACCCTTCCTCAGAACTGATGGTAGCTGGGAAAATGTCGGCTTATGTGCAGAAAATAGGGAGGGGGAATGGGGTAGGGAGTAAATGATAGGATAGAGCCTGAAGAGAGAGAAGAGCAGTTGGATAGACAAAGGAGTTGATAACAATCAGGCTGGGAGGGTAAATGGTTGTTAATGGGGACTATTAGTGACTAACAACAGGGGGTGTGTAACGGCAGGCTATGTGGTAACAAGGCTGGTGTGTGGGGTAGGGGGCTGGGACACGGGAGAGTTTAGGCCCTAAAATTATTGAACTCAATATTGAGTCCTGAGGGCTGCAGGATCCCCAAGCGGAAAATGAAGTGCTGTTCTTCCAGTTTGCGCTGAGCTTCACTGGAACACTGCAGCAACAGGTACTCCTGAAGTCATTGCTAGAATAATGGGTATGGAGAGAGGATAGATCACAAAGGTAATGTAACAGAAAAAAATACAGCGTTCAGGGAACAGTAAGATAGTCACAGGAAGTGAGAGATTGATTTCATCGTTCAAAATTGTGACAGGTGATGAAGTATTGTTGCACACTGCTAGAAAATAAGAAGATCTTGCACTTAGATAGCACCTGCTATGATATCCCAAAAGGGCCAGCGTAGTGGTTAGCACTGACTGTGGACTTTGCAAATTCTCCCCATGTCTGTGTGGGTTTTCTTGGGGCACTCTGGTTTCCTCCCACCATCCAAAGATATGCAGGTTAGGTGGATTGGCCATGGCAAATACAGGGTTACAGGTGTAGGGTAGGGAGTCGGTCTGGGTGGGATGCTCTTCAGAGGGTCAGTGTGGACTCAATGGGCCAAAAGGCCTGGTTCTGCACTGTAGGGATTATATAAAATGCAGTACTTATGAAGTGCAGCCTCTGTTGCAGTGTAGGAAACATGGCAGCCAAAATTGTGCAAAGCAAGCTCTCAAGAGCATTGAGATAATCATCATAGAATCCCTACAGTGTGGAAACAGGCCCAACGGCCCAACAAGTCCACACCGACCCTCAGAACATCCTACCCAGACCCATCCCCCGATAACCCACCTAATCTACACATCCCTGAACACTACAGGTAATTTAGCATGGCCAACCCACCTAACCTGCACACCTTTGGACTGTGGGAGGAAACCGGAGCACCCGGAGGAAACCCACGCAAACACAGGGAGAATGTGCAAACTCCACACAGACAGTCACCCGAGGGTGGAATTGAACCCGGGTCCCTGGTGCTGTGAGACAGCAGTGCTAACCACTGAGCCAGTAATGACCAGATAGTTTTGTTTCCACGATGCTGATTGAGGTATAATAGTGACGTTGATATTGTAAGAGCATGGGAAATGAAAGCAGGAGGAAGCCATTCAGCCCCTCAATCGTTCAGTTAGATTATGGTTGATCTTCTAATTCAGCACCATTTTTCCACACTGTCCCCATATCCCTTCATATTTTTAACATCTAGAAATCTCTGTCTTGGACATAATGGCTGGTTCTGTACATCCCAAGTAAAGAAGTCCAAAGATTCACCACTCTGTGCATGAAGAGAGTCCTCTTTGCCTCAGTCTTAAATATACCACCTCTTATTCTCAGATGACATCCTCTGGTTCTAGATAGCACCTTCAAACCAAGAATTCCCATTCTCTCTTTCTGAATAGCACCTTGGGATATTTTATGTCCTTTATACCTGTGGGGGCAAATGGGGTTTCAATTTTGACGTCTCCTTCGAAAAATGGCACCTCTGACTTGCAGCACTCCCCTTAGTACCGTAACAGGATGTCAGCCAATAATCTCTGTGCTCACATCCATGGGGTGGGATTTGAACCCACAACCTACTGCATTGGAGGTGAGAGAGCTACACACCTCACTGCCCCTCACCTAGTGTAGCTCTTCATGAGCGATGTCGTGGGAGATCTGAAAGTTCCAGGATAGTTCTGCCAGTTTACTCTGCACTGCCTTTTTAAAATTCATTCATGGGACATGGTCCTTGCTGTCTGGGCCAGCATTTATTGCCCATCCCTAGTTTCCCTTGAAGAGGCGGTGGTGAACTCCCTTCTTGAACCGCTACAGGTGAACAATGCTGTTATGGAGGGAATTCCAGGATTTTGACCCAGTGACAGGGAAGGAACAGCGATATATTTGCAAGTCAAGATGGTGAGGGGAGCTTGAAGGTGCTGGTGTTCCCAAGTATCTGTTGCCCTTGTCCTTCTAGATGGAAGTAGCCGTGGGTTTGGAAGGTGCTGTCTAAGGGGCTTTGGTGAATTTCTGCAGTGCATCTTGTAGATGGTACACACTGCTGCTACTAAGCGCCAGTGGTGGAGGGAGTGGATGTTTGTGGATGTGGTGCCAATCAGGTGGGTTGCTTTGTCCTGGATGGTTTCAAGCTTCTTAACTGTTTCTGGAGTTGCACCCATCCCGGCAAGTGGGGAGTATTCCATCACACTCCTGACTTGTGCCCTGTGGATGATGGATAGACTTTGGGGAATCAGGAGGTGAATTATTCGCTGCAGAATTCCCAGCCTATGATCTGCTCTGGTAGCCACTGTATCTCTGAGGTGAGTCTTGTTTAGTGTCTGGTCAATGGTAACCCCCAGGATGCTAATTGTGGGGGATATTCGGTGATGGTGATCTCGTCCAGTTGCACTCCTGTACAAATGTTTTATTTAAATAATGTATTCTGCATTTAAGGCGTTGAGTTTTACAATGTGGAGTTGAATATTTTGAATCATTCTCAGCGGCCCTTGGTAAAAATTCCAACGGTGCATCAGGAAATTGAAATTTGATTGTTCTTGTAAGGACAGTGTGGTGAAGGAGTAGAAGCTCCGGCTGTTCACATTCATCAAAACTAAAAGCTTGGAACCCGCTTACTGTCTCTGCATCAGTGGATTTGTTGTGATCAGTTTTCACAGAATGAAACCATTTCTCACATGCTCCCTGGTACAGAACTCAATGAAGGGAAATGATCTTTATGCGATACGTTAGTTCACAATTCACTTCAGTCTGCTGGATAGTAACCCTGCTTAAAATTGGTTTCTTTGATCAAACAGGTACACAGAAAATGAGCGACAATGAAGAAAATTCTCCGACACAAGGTAAGGAACCATCATCGGCAATGCCCCCAGCCAGGTAACACAATAAACAGAGAGGTAGAAAATCACATCCAATGGGGATGGGCTGGTTTCATACTATTGCTGATGTGTAGAGAGACCAGACCAATGCTGCACCTGAGGTGGTTCCCAGCAGCACATGAGCTGGTTCCCAGCTGCAACCGTGAGTTGCTCTTGGCTTTGTTGTGGGCGCATGCTATTGCTAAGCCTTCTGTGCCCGCTCATCATCATGGTGACACCCACTGACACTATCCTCTGTCACCAGCTAGTGTCAGTGAAGGGCCTTGAAACGGAGTAAAAATCGTAAGACTTCCTTTTAAAAGGAATGCTCCAATGAATGAAGTTTCTGGCTGGTCATCCTTGGAATCTCATGCTATGCCTAAGATAAAAGAAAAGTCTGTTTACTTCGTAGCAATCAGTTTGATCTTTGGTAGGCATGATTTATTCCTCTGGACCTTCAAAAAGTATTTCTGAAGAAGTCATACCAGACTTGAAAAGTTATTTCTGTTTCTCTCTACAAAAATGCTGCCAGACCTGCTGAGTTTCTCTAGCATTTGCTTCGTTTGCTTCACATACTATCACAGTGATGTATTATTCATTTTTTCATCTTTCATTTTCTTTCTTGGTGGCCCGGTGGTTAGCACTGCTGCCTCACAGCACCAGGGACCTAAGTTTGATTCCACCCTCGGGCGACTGTCTGTGTGAAGTTTGCACATTCTCCCCGTGTCTGCGTGGGTTTCCTCCCGGTGCTCCAGTTTCCTCCCACAGTCCAAAGATGTGCAGGTTAGGTGGACTGGCCATTGCTAAATTGCCCATAGTGTTCAGGGATGTGCTGTGCTGTGCTGTGCACAATTTTGTCACTGAAAACTTACAACTCCAGGATGGAAACCACACCAACAGTTTCAGGCAAGCTCATTCAGCATTCTCAGGAAAAGCCTCGAAATGGCACCACTTCCATAATTAAACCAACACAAAATCTACAAGTCATAAAGATATATACACATACCAATATTTCCCAAGAGAAATACCTTACCTAGAACTGTTGTTGGGGAGCTGGGGACAATGTTTAGAAATAAATTTCCAGCTTTTCTTTTTAATTGAATTTAAATACCCCAGACGCGATGCGAGGATTTCAACCCATGTCCCCAGGGAATTAGCCTTAGTTTCAGGGATGAAAAGACAATGATAGTAACACCATCAGCCCCTGTGAGTAATTAAGAGGCTGGATTGCACTTGCCTCAATCAATCAGACCTGAAACATCAGCTTTCCTGCTCCTCTGATGCTGTTTGGCCTGCTGTGTTCATCCAGCTCTACAATTTGTTATCTTAAATTCTCCAGCGTCGGCAGTTCCTACTATCACAGCATTAGTTGATTATTTTAACAGAAACAATATTACAGAGAAAAGGCCAAAAAAATGTCACTGTGTCGTAATGCTCATTCAGAGAGCCAGTGCAGACATAATGGGCTGAAGGGTCTCCTTCTGCAACATTACACTTCTGTGATTCTGATGTTCAGACTGGAGAGCGGTAAAATGCCTTGTAGAACAAACAGGTATTGTACTTTGAGGTTGCGCAGACCTTCTTTGAAGCAATGTAGGAGGCCGAGGACAGAGAGCTCAAGTAGACAATGGAAGTGGCAAGTTGCTAGAAGCTTGAGGCCACATGAACTGAATGGAGGCGCTCAGCAAAGTGATAAATGAATCTGCATTTGACATCACCAAATACCAGAAAATGGTATCACTTGGAAGGAATGCTTGGGAAAGAAGGAGATGAAAGAGCAGGTCTTGCATTTCCAGGGCTTTCATGAGAGGGTGTTGCGGGAGGGTTGGGGATGTTAGGAGTGTTACAAGGATGGGCCATTGTGCCACAGGGAGAAGATCCCTCTGGAGCGCTGGAAGGGGAGGGCCAAGTTATATTTTGCTTTATCGTTGTATACGACACAAGGTCACACTCCTGACAACAATCCTTAATAAGCCTAAAGTAACTCGTTGCTGTACAATGTTTTGCAGGGGAAGATAAGGAGAGTAATGAACACATACCCTATATTGATGAATGTGAAGACGGTAGGACAAAATCTTCTTTCATAATAAAACAGAAGCATCTGAAATACGGTTAAATAAACCAAAAAAATTGTGAATTGGTCATGGTTCCAATTTGTCAGAATTTTTATTCATTCTAGCAAACTGCTTTTTTAAAAATTAAAATGAATTTGAAGACAACGTTCTTAGCTGTTCATTTCTCCAGTCTCTCTAGACAACAGGAAGTTTTGTCAATCAGCTGAGAAAGAATATTTGTTAGGTTTTCCTGTTCGGTTTCCACATTCATTCTGCGCTGTCCAATGAGTATTCAGACCAAGATGGCTTCACTAAAGGGCACTGTTCATGTGTGACCCTGGACCTTCAAAATTCAACCATGAGGACTCTCACATTTCTGCCCTGACCCACCATTTGACATTCACTAGACATTAATGGATTGTAATTATAAGCAGGAGCTGGGGGTTGATTGTTCCTTCAAGTGATGGTGAGGCCATTTCTATCATAGTAGCAGCTGAATTCAACTCAGGCATCACATCCAATCCCTTAATTTGTACATCTGGGTCATTATCTAGCTCAGTTTACCATTGTGACACACCTCCATGATAGGTAGGACTTCAATGATATTCTAGCCTCACGGAAGGGACATTACTACTGTGCCAGGAAAGCTTTAACTGTTAATTATATCTTTATGCGGTGTTTAAATGGTGGGCATTAACTGGGGATTCACCTGAGCTCGTATATATTATATGTATATCTGAGCTAATGGTCTTGTGCTGCTGTGGTTCCTGCCTCTATCTCTGGGCTGGTTTCAAATCCCACCTCAGGATGTGATGGGTACAGATATGTAGCTTAATGTGCCTTAACAGTGTGCTTTAAGTATAGCTGTGCTGGGATCTTCTGGCATGGTGACAGCCTCCCCTGTCTCTGGGCTAGGACCAGTTTCAAGTCCCATCAAACATCTGAACCAATTGAAAAATTATTTTTAGGTTCTTATAGCCCTAAAGGTTCGGATGTGATGACCACAGAGATAAACGATTTTATACATTGGAACTGGCTGGAACAACTGGCTTGTAACAATCTGTATTATGTGCCACTGTCAGTAAAAGCTGGTGAGCGTATGGAGCCGAGATATATCCTTCACTGCCTGGCCATCTAAATTCTAACATTACCCGCTGCACCATTAGGTAGCTGAGAAATGTTGCCTTCATAGTGCGTGCTTGAAGTAAGACAAAGTTGAAGATGATGAAAATGCCCTTTTTAATGTAGAACGTCTCCTATCTTCTCCTGGCAGCATTCTTTGATTAAATTCATTTTTCTGTTCCCACAGAGAGTGGACAATGAAGACACGACTTGACAGATTACAAGACAGGTCAATGTCAGTGAAAACAGAATGTCACTCTTTTAGACCTCCAGAAAGTGGATGGTACAATTTTGTGCTTGAGTTTAGATCGCCATCTTGTTCAGTTTTGTGTGTCCAAATTCTGGGTTGTATTATGTTTCGTAATTGTAATTTTTGAGGGAAATATTTTGGCCTAATATTGTGCTTCTAAATGATACTTTTACTGCCTGCAACTGGTGTTCGATTGATCAGTAGAAATTAGATCCGATATCATATCAGCTTCACAACAGAAGAATGCCTAACTGTGTTCATCCCCATTAATGCCAGGTATGTCACACTTTTGATCCCTGAGTAAATTTTTACTTAAACCTTGAGCGTGAAGCTGCCATAAGAGTACAATACCGAGAGATCTTGGCCCCATTCAGTCGGTCATACTTGTCCCATTGCTGTTCAGATGTCTACACAAGGTCAATGGCCAATTGCTTCTCTTTTGGGAGATGGTGCATGAATTAAAAAGTTGTTTCACTTCCTTTCTTTTTCCTCCTCTGGCAATTGCTTGATACCGCAGTAAAGTTGGTTCCCAGTGTAAAGATGAAGCAAGAATGAAAATTGAGTTGTGGGATTGGCCAGTGAGGTTGAAGGTGACTTGTCGAATTTGAGAGGGACACAGATTTGGCAAATAAAGGACAAACCAGTTGATGGGATAGGTGCTAAGTCTGGTCTCTTTATGTTTCACTTCTCCTTTAGCAATCCTTTAGCTTTTTGTACCTTGTTAACTCCCTCCTGGCACACAAATTGACAGGGTTTGCTGTCTTTGACAGCTCCTCATATGCTGATGTCAATCTTTCTCTATTTTGTATTCTTTTTCTTTTCCTTAATATCTTTACAATACATGGGCATCACTGTTGTGGCCAGCACTGAATAGAATTCCCTTCCTAAACCTGTCTGCCCCTGATCTCCACTCCTTTGAGACCGAATTGAAACCTGCTGCTTTGATCAATTATGCCTCCTTAGGTTTCAGAAATTGAGTGATTGCTGTTCCTGTGAAACACCTTGGGACGTTTTACTGCTTTGTAAGGTTAAAGTCATCATTGTCTCAGAGGACCAACAGGGCTATTCTCCTAGTTCACCATACTGTCCTGATAATTCCATTGGAGATAGGGCAGTGTTATCTCTACATTATCACTAACAGCTTTGCTTCAGATGCACTGCACTGAGAAAGTAAATCTTCTCCCAAAATATTTCCAAGATTTTCTTTTCCTTGAAGTAGCTTTTGATTTCTCAGAACACCAAGGAGTTTGAACAGCAAAGTCAAAAGTTGTGATGATTGTGAGGGGGATTAACTCCATTTGCTAAAAGAGAATCTGAAATCCTGATCATGGCTACACATCGTTCTGATCAATTGATCATAAATTTTTGGTTGACTTGAGAAATCACAGTGCAACTAACATGACTCGCTGTTTGCTAACAGTGATTGGCTTGCAATTGAGAAGTTGTTTGCAAATCCTTAATGCATATCTGAAAACTCCAAAGCTGGAGGATAATGTTTCTGATAAGCTTGAAATAATTCAGTATTTATACAGAGCCATTCACTGCTATCAACTGGGATCTCATGCTTAAGTGACTAAAATATTCATCAGTAGCTCTAGAGAGTCAGATTTCCTTTACCAAGGCCCTCACTGCCATATATCAAAGTTCATTTGACAGGATGAGTGTTAGTTAATGTTCCTCCCAGTCTTCTCTCACTCATTGTCAATACAGAGTTGCTCATTCAGGCTGGAGAGGTGAAATATGGATCCATGAATGCTTTTCTCTTGTCCCTCCCATTATGGTCTCTAAGGAGAGGTCTTTTAATCTTCTTCTGCAGCTGTCACTTTGACTTATTCTAGTATCTCTCACGTTAGAGGTCTGAAACATTACACAAAAAACATCTGCTACCCTAACCCCCAACATTTTGCATATTGGTCCTACAGAATTGCACTTCAAAAAGACCCCTGAGATTTCACATTTGAAAGATATACATTTTATTGCCCTTGGCCCATATTTATTTACCTAAAAACACTGCACCACTCATATGGACTATGCAGGAGATTGTTATTTAATGATGGCGGTAAGTGAAGCTAGTAATTACTAGAATCAACTTTGTTTCCTGCTGGAATAGATGGATATAAAGTTTTGTGATGTACAGTACATTATTATATTACCTCCCTGGCAAATTACAGCTGATATAATGGGGGCTATCAAAATGAATGAAACTCAACAGAGTTAAAGTGTAAGAGTGATTGTTCTCAATATGAAGCCAGGACGCAGCAAAGTTCAGCTTCAAATAACTGTCATTAAATCAGAAAAATGGAATGCTTGCTGTTCAGGTAGAGGCCATCCTGCCCATCAACTCCATGCCAGCTCTCTGCAAGGACAACTCGGCTCATCACACTCTTCCGTCCTTTCCCTGGAACTCTGCAAACCCTCTATCTCCTGGCAGCTGCTCAGCACCCTTCTGAAAGCCACCCTCCCAGGCACTGCATGTGGAATTCCGCTGGAAGCTGAAGCACTTGGCTCCCTCCTCCAAGATTGCGTTCCCCACATAGTAGCAGACGCTCACTGGTCTGGACCTCCCAGGAGCCAATGGTTCTGAATTTGTTGTTACCGAAAAGAGAAGGACAAGGTAATTTCTAAACAAGGAATGATCGTGGTCCATCTACAGTCTAACACGTACCATCCTGGGGATCATACAATACAAAATAGTTGAAATGTTGATAGTGACCTGTCTCTCTCAATGAGTCTACAACTGACTCAGATGTGAGGTGAGGAACCCACTCCACTCCTACCAAGTGTTGGAGACCACTGGGACTCATAGACCCAAAGTCACATGTTATTCTCAATCTTGCTTCACTCACCATGTCTTAAATGTTTTGGATCCCAACGTGTTACTTTCTGAAGAAGTCCACCACATTTGCATCCAAATACCTTGATACTCACAGTTTCTATCACCTCTCACAGGAACCTGTTCTGTATATTGATCACTGACCTACTGAGAGATTGCATTGTACATGAACATGTGAATGTACCATCCAATGTTGACCCCCAACCCTCAGGCTGTATACTTGTCTTCTCTTGTTCCAGACAGAGTGTAAGTAGCTCTCTAGCCTTCAAATGCTAAAAGCAGCAGTCATATCACCAAAGCATAATGGGCTGAATGGCCTCCTTCCATGATGTTTACTTCTATATTATCTCTCAGTTGTTCTCTTACTCACCATCAACATGCACAAATGAGAATAAGCTTCTGATCAGGTCCCCCGTTCTGCACTATCCTTTCATCCAGCAGCTATCCCTTGTATTCCAAGTGGTCGTCTCAGAAACACTCATTTTTAAAACTGAATTTCAACACTTTTAGAAATAAAATAACTTTATTGACAGTTCATTTATTTTTTTTTCTCAAATTGACTTGGGCATTTCTTTTAAAATAGGAAAAGGTCCAGCCAATTGACAAGGAGATCATTGAGGGAATTAAGTACGGCTTGTTGTATAGTGGTCAGTTCCTCTGTATTAATTGGCACCTCACTTGTTATAGGACTGGCTAATCTTGGCAGCTAATGTTGGGCTCTTTGGAAGAGGTAGTGCTCTTGTGTTTAACTGTTTTGCTCAAGGATACGCTGTCTGGGAGAAGGTTCATAGACTCGCAGGATGATGGAGCACACAGGGAGGCCACTCAGCCCCTTGTGTCCCGTGCCAGCTCCCTATTAAAGCTAACTCTCTGAACAGGCTGTAACCCTCGACTCAGATTAACATTTGGCAGAATTCAACCCTGTTGTCCCTGAGATTGGCGTCTCATGGCGGCGAACACTGGGGTGAGAGGGATGGTAGAAATCACAGGGAGGGGAGCTTGAGGTAGGTCTTGACTTCATGTTGGCAATGTAAAAAGGACGTTAATAGATGAGCAGCCCACTTGACATCCCACCTGACAAATATAAAATAATACCAAAAGGGCTATCAGATGTGCTGCATCATCACTGAAAGTCTATCCCATTCAAATGTCATGTGATCTGATATGAAACCCTGATCCAAATCTACTGTTCAAACCTCCAAATTTATCCAATTTAAAACAAAAATGTTCCAAACACACACTGTGCCAGTTTTATGGATTCTGTAAAGCTGCCTCTTGCAGTGCATGCTTGCTTTGCTTTAGACTATGTTTAGATAGATGTTTTACTTTCCATAGACTTTTCAGGAATACAGTTTTTGTTTCCTTGGATGCTTTAAGATTTGCCTTACCTCATGGTATGTAATAGTAACTGGCAGTTGTTTCTTGTAAACTTGAGGCAAGTGGATCAAATTGGAAAGTATCTTCCTGATCCTAATGCCTTGTTGTCAACCTGTTAAGTAGCCAGCATTACACCTTCGAAACAAAAGGTTTTTTCCTCTTCATCTCTCTCTGTGCCATGAACTTGGGATGTTGCCAAAACAAAATGATACCTTCACACTTTGTCTGTTTAATAAAATGAACGGTAATAGCATTTTGAAAGGCATGCCTCTTCTGTTATTTGAAAAAGTCATTTTTATGAGACTGCTGGTATTTGAAAGTTGGATTTTAATTCCTTTGTCAGCTCCCTCAGTCTGATATAAAAGGACATTAACTTTACTTTGTTTTTGGCTCCGTTATTGAAGATTTTGATAAGTCAATCAAGGTTCGGGGTAAAAGCTGAAGTCACCATAGTCCTGTTTTCTCATTAGAGAGACTAGTGGTGGTTTAACCTGAGGGTCACCACACCTCAGATGAGGGGAGAGGTTGGGAAGGGGAAGTCCTCAGCTGGTGGGGGGGAATTGAACCCACAATGTCGGTATGACTTGCTAGTTGTCCAGCCAACGGAGCTAAGTGAGCCATGCAAAAG